AATCTTAGTGTATTTTATCTAACACAAAATTTATTTCATCAGGGTAAAGGACAAAGAGACATATCTTTAAACTCAAGTTATATAATATATTTTAAAAACCCTCGAGATAAAACTCAAATAAGATATTTAGCAAGACAAGTATCACCAGATAACCCAAAATTCATTGAAAATGCCTACAGGGATGCAACTCTAGAGGCGCATGGATATTTAATGGTAGATTTAAAACAGAATACCAATGATTTTTGTCGTATCAAGACAAATGTCTTTCCATTTAATGGTTTCTGTACAGTCTACGTCCCCACAAAAGAGTTTAAATACACCAAGAATCAAACAATTGAAATCATTGCTAAATGATGCATCGTCGACTCACAACGTATAAACATTTGCTAACCGCTTTGCATACGCTTAAACCAAAATATCAAAGAGCATTACTTAAAACGTGTGATGAAGAAGAAATTAACTGTATTTGTGAGTGTATTCATAACGTTTTACAAGGAAAAGTACCTCTTAAAGATCAGGATAAACAAAAATTGAATAAACATAAAAACATACTCCGTAAACTAGTACGTAAGTGTAAACATAAACTAAGAAAAAATATAATTATACAAAAAGGAGGGGCTTTCTTACCAACAATATTAGGTGCAATATTGAGTGGATTAGTGAGTGGACTAGCCAGTTAACATGGAAAATGCAAAGAAAATGATACTTATCGAACCTGGATTGATTGAAAAATTAAAACAAGAAAATAAGGTTAATAGTAATTTATCTCGATTAGATATTGAAATGCAAAATATTATGAATAGTAAGACGGAAGACCGAAAGAAATGGATATTATATTTACAAACACTGCAAAGATACCTTCATTTTACCGAAGAGGATCGTCAACCACTCAAATTACCAATTTATTCTGATACATCTAATGAAGATTCAAATGAGTCAAAAATTGGTTTTAAAAATAAAGATAGAGATCTAAAAACTTCAGTTGATATTGAATCTTTGCTGGAGGAGAATCGATCCATTAAAAGTAAAGAAAATGATGAAAATCCACTTTACACACCAGCTCAAATACTCAGTTTAATACCAAAAACTTATCATAAAAAAGGGCAGTTATTATTAAACTTAGTTGAAACAAGTAAAAGTAAAATACATTGGGATAACGAAGGTACAGTCATAATTGATAGTGAAAAAATTCCTGGAAGTAATATTGTTGATTTAATAAATGATTCACTAAGACCCTTAAAAAGAAGTGATCCGGTAGGGTGGGTTAGATTTGCTGAAGCATTAAAAGATATTAAAGTACCACTTACTTATATTGGAAATCCAAGGAGATGTGAGTTTATTAACCAACTTCAAGCAAAAGATCTGAACAAACCCTCTGAGATTGAAGTTCAAGAGTTTTCTACACCGTGCAGTAGAGATAAAAAGTCTACAACTAAAATACGTAAAGGACTTGAGTGGGAAAAATGGACTCCGTACTAGAAGAAATTAACAGGATTTATTATGATCCATCTAATCCCGCTGGTTTTGGTAGTATTGATAAATTATCAAAAGCCATGAAGGGTAAAATGAATAAAAAGCAAGTAAAGGAATGGTTAAAATCACAAGAAACATACACATTACATAAACCCATTCGAAAAAAAATCCCGCGTAATAGGTACATTCTATCAAATATTAATGAACTGTGGCAAGCTGATTTAAGTGATATGCGAACTTATTCTCAATATAATGATGGTTTCAAGTATATACTTTGTATTATTGATGTATTTAGTAAATATGCTTTTGCAAGACCAATGAAAAAGAAAAACTCAGAAACAACTAAAGAATGTTTTGAAAGTATATTTACTGAAAGTAATTTAACACCTACTCACATACAATCCGATAAAGGTACAGAATTTGTTTCAAAAGATGTACAAAAATACTTTAAATCCAAAAAGATTAATTACTATACCACTAACAATCCTGACATTAAGGCCAGTATTGTTGAACGATTTCAAAGAACACTAAAAATGAAAATGTGGCGTTATTTCACTCATAATAATACTTATAGATATATAGATGTTTTACAAGATTTAATATACTCTGTCGTGAAGCGACAATAAAAAAAAATAGAACCTAACCTAAGTACAACAAAACAACAAAAGTAGAGCCAGAAAAACAATATATTTAAATTTACAAAAGGTATTTACAATTTTATAAAAAAAATGATGTGAGGATGATGATGGATGAAGTGAGAATACAATTAGATTATAAAAAAAAAATAAAGGTGAGAGAATAGGGGAATATAGCGTTGAAGTGGGGCCTAAAAGTCGAAGCGACACACGTTGCGTTTGTAGAAGTAGGTTTCTTAGCAGCGACGGCGCGCAGCGCCTGGAGCCAGTACACGCAGCGTCCGGAGCCGGCGCACGTAGCGCCTGGAGAAGGGGCGCGCAACGCTTAGAGCCAGCAGTTGCAGCGCCCAAAGGTAGCGCCGGCGGTAGGTGCACTCGGCGCCTGGAGTAAGTAGTAGAAGTGCCCGGAGTAGTGTGGCCCCCGCGCTTGTAGTAGACTCGAAGCGACTTCCGAGGTAGATGGAGGCTTGTAGGATTCCGGAGTGGCGCGGCCCGAGTTTGAAGAAGGCTTCGCCGAAGACTTCACGTGTAAATGGAGGCTTGCAGGATCCCGGGGCAGTGCGGCCCCGGGATAAGGCCTTTAGGAGATACTTCTAATTCGCGAACTGAAGCGAGACTGCCTTTCTTCACCGATTGTTCGGCTTTTATACCTTTCTAGAGAGAACGGAAAAATTATTTAAATTATACGCAAATTTTTTGTAAATGGTCAAGAGAAAAGAGGATTTATGTGGAATTTATCGAAATAGGAATAACAGATCGGTAGCAAATTTGAATATAATTACCATGGAAACGATATAAATAAGAAAGACAAAATATGTCAAATTTTTGTTTTTGGTTTATAATAAGAAAACGGTAAGATTTAAGTGGAAAATGAGATATTATTGATATAGGAAAAAAGGTAGCGCAACTGCCCACACAAAGTCCAAGATTGTAGAGTTACGGAAAACTAGCTAAAAGATCGAAAAAAGGTAGACTCCATTGACACCAATTTAAAAGTGCTGATAATGTGAAAATACGAAGTAGAAATGATTTGTTATTGTGTTCTTATGGTTTAAAATCGTTACAGGATCCTATGGAAATAAAGGTGATGTAAAATATCCAGTTTTGAGGTGAATGCAGAAAATCGAAACAGAATGGAAAAATGAATTTAAAATAATGTAAAAAGATACGTAAGTAGTATAACACTACAACTCTTATAATCACAGCTTTCACTCTAGTATTAAGATGTGCCCATGTGATGTAAATTCCAACAATATTATGACAGTTTGGACTAATCTTTATGATAGACGGTCAAAAAAACTTTCTTTAGAAAATCCTAAACCAAATTTCAATGTGGGTGATTATGTTCGAATAACTAAATATAAACATGTATTCCAAAAAGGATATGAATCAAATTGGAGTGATGAAATATTTATTATATCTTCAATAATTGATAGATCTCCATGGGTTGTTTATACAATAACAGATTTACAAAATGAACCAATAATTGGTACTTTTTATGAAAGAGAATTACAGAAAATCACTTACAACCCCACCTCACAACATAAAATAGATAAAATAATTGACACTCGTTATTCAAGTAACAGAAAAGAAGTATTAGTGAAGTGGAAAGGTTATCCAGATAAATTTAACAGTTGGATTTTAGCTTCTAGTTTAAAAGAAATATGAATAAAGAAAGTTTCTATTTAACTTTGCTCAGCAATAGTTCAATGGAATACTTTCCTGATAACAAGACCACAAATTTTTCAACGAAATTACCAAAAGCTATAAAATTAGAAGGTGAATGGTCGGTTGGAGTTGTCGAGTTTCAATATCCATGTACCATGTTTACTGTTCAAGACCATGAAAATGTTATATACATTACAAAATCTATGTTAATGCCTAATGAAGATAAGCCATCCACAGTGTACTACAAAAAACATATTCCAGCTACCAACTATGATAACGTTGAGCATATTTTAAGAGTGTTAAATGGTATCGGAGAGAACTTGAAATTTCGCTATGATGAAATAACAAAATTTGTGTCTATTTCGGTATTGGATAAAAATATAACATCCGTAACATTATCACCCAAATTAAGTTTACAGCTAGGTTATGAACCAAATAAAAATCTCCTAGAGAGAAATTTTGGAAAGTGTCCTGCTAATTTACACTTAGGGTTACCATCTCAACTATTTCTATATTGCGACATTATCGATCCTCAGATTGTGGGTGATGTTATGACTCCTTTATTAAGAGTCATTTCATTAGATCCTACAAAATACATTTATGGTGCAAATAAAATGCACGTTTTCTCTCAACCTCACTACTTACCTGTTATGCGAAGAGAGTTCGATACGTTGGAAATAGTTATAAGATCGAGTACAGGACAAAAAATACCATTCCAGTTTGGAACCGTGTGTATTAAACTACATTTCCGAAAATTATAATAATGAATTCTCTTCGTGATCATCATAAATGTCCATATGAAAATTATTATACACATCAAGCTGGATCAGGAGTTGGAGTAATTTATAAGGGTTCACCATATCAACGCGGTCATGGTATTGGGAGCTTCTTAGGGGGGTTATTCAGATCAGTTTTACCTTTACTTTCAAGTGGTGCTCGAGTGATTGGTAAGGAGGCATTAAGCGCTGGAGTAGGACTTTTATCGGATATGGTTCAAGCCCGTCCTATGGAAGCCTCAATAAAAGATCGTCTAAAGCAAGTTAGTACGAATTTAAAACGAAAGGCTGATGAGAAAATTGATCAATTTAACATGACTGGATCTGGGTATAAAACTAAAAGAAAACGATTGACATCGTTCATTCCACCATTAACTGCTAAAGTGAAAGCTGCGAAAAAACTTAGTCTAAAACCAAAAAATATCAAAGATATATTTTCAAACTAAATATGTCTTTCCTTCATAATCATTCTTGCGAGTGCGTTAAGTCAGAATTGGATTTGTTTGCACTACCGTCTACACAAACTAGCATTGAAAATGGATTGTGGATTCATTATAAACCAATTTCATCTCTTGGTGATGATGGACCTATCGAGTTTCAAGTTCCTGGGACCGGCGATGACTACATAGATTTGTCTCATACATTACTCCACATAAAGGCAAAAGTATTAAATCAAGATTCAACTAACTTGGTATCTACTACAATAGTAGCACCTGTAAATAATTGGCTGCATTCACTTTTTAGTCAACTTGATGTTTATTTAAACCAAAAACTTGTATCACCACCTAATAATACCTATGCATATCGAGCATACATGGAAACCCTTTTAAACTATGCCCCTGCTGCTAAACAATCTCATCTTACTTGTAGCCTTTGGTATGAGGATACAGCAGGAAAAATGGATTCTACAGATGGTAAAAACATAGGATTTGTTAAAAGACAGGAATTGATTAGTGAAAGTAAGGAAATAGAAATGATTGGTCATCTTCACGGTGACATTTTTAACCAAGATAAATTTTTAATTAATGGTGTTGAAATGAGTGTTAAATTGGTTCGATCAAGAGAGAGTTTTAATTTAATTGTTGGGTCGAACGATGTAAAGTTTAAAGTTTGCATTACGGACGCAACTCTTATTGTGCGACGAGCACGAATTAATCCAAGTGTATTACTCGCACATCAAAAAGTTTTAGCTTCTACCACTGCTAAATATCCTATTACTCGAGGTGAAGTAAAAGTTTTAACAATTCCTTCAGGTGTTCAAGGAAAAACTCTTGATAATATATTTTTAGGACAGGTACCGAAAAGATGTATAATTGGATTTGTGAACAATTCTGCATTTAATGGTTCCCTTACTAAAAATCCATTTAACTTTGAAAACTATGGTATTAATTCTTTCAGCTTATATATTGATGGTCAACAAATACCTTCAAAAGCTTTGCAACCATCTTTTAATAATAGCATATTTACATCAGCATATCATACTCTATTCTCGGGAACTGGTATTCACTTTCTTAATGAAGGAAATGGAATCTCTTGTGAACAGTATGGCAAAGGTTACTGTCTATTAGCATTTGACTTAACTCCTGATTTATCAGCTAACTCATCAACTCATTGGAATCTCATAAAGCATGGTAGTGTAAGAATAGAAGTACGATTTGAATCCTCATTAATACAAACAATTAACTGTATAGTTTATGCTGAGTTTGATAATATTATTGAGATAGATAAAAACAGAAATGTTACTGTAGACTATAGTAGTTAAGGTTATAATATGTGTTGTGTGTTAGATTTTATGTGTTATGTGTAATGCATTTTGTGTGTATGTAACTATGTGAAACGTTATAAAATTAAATAAAACAAATTGTATGCAATATATTTTTTTTATTTCTTTATAAATCTTCTATTTAATCTAATACAAAACACTGTTCGAGTTGAAATTTTACATAAGCACACTGACTAAACCACTGAACATGCTGCTGCCAAGGATCATCATCATCTTCCCAATCTTTTAAACCACCACCACAATGGAAACACTTGGTCCCGTCTGCATGGCCAGTATAAAAGAAACCAGCTTCGGCAAGATCTTCAGGTTTCTGTCGCATAACTAGAGGCCAGTTTTCGAAACTAAGCAAACGGCTAGATTTTGAACTGAAGAATGGATATTCAGCTCTTGAGTACTGCATACTCTTCTCGTTTTCTTCTCCACTCAGTGTTGTAGTTTTGTTATTCAATGATGTGTTTTGTACACGTATGCCACACTCATCTCTTCCTTCCGCTCTTGTCTTCCTGTAATTGAAGTAAACAGAATCACATTCACTAATGATCAGCTAATGACTGTCATTGTTAAAAAAGTATTTTTTAACTTTTTCACTTTCTGCTATTGTCTTTGTTATATTGTATACGAGGGCGTTTGTATTGTCGTAGATGCTATCCTTATTAGTCTTTACGTAATATTTAATTCTCGTGGAAGCATGTTTCCAATGATCAGTAGTTGGAATCTTGGATAGCTTCTTCATATCGTACATTTCAATTTTGATGAGATGCGTCACTTGGTCTCCGTCGTCAGAATTAGTAGAAATGTATGATACACCATCTCTAGCGGCTCGTGCTACGGTTGATGATAACAGCTTCCTCTTTTTTATTTTTGATTCAGCTTCAAAAAAATGATCAATCGATTGCGATTTTCTTTTTCCACCATCGCATGTGTTATTATTAATGACGAGGTTATCACTCTCTTCTTGAGGGGAGAGTGGCGAGTAGTAATACTGTTTATAGGTATCTTCATCGAAGCTCAATGATTTCTGCAACAACACAGTTATCATGTTAATATCAATTTGTTAACACTTAATCATAAAAGTTAAAAAAGTTAAAGTTACAGCCTATTAAAGTCCACTGCTGAACATAGGCCTCCTCTCATTTCTGAGAGGGTTTTAGAGCAAGGAAATGTCCGCCGCGCTCCCTCGATGTGTGTTGGTGAACTTCACATGCCTTCGAAATTTTCTCAGACATGCAGGTTTCCTCACGATGTTTTCCTTCACCACCAAGCACGTGGTAATAAGCACTTAAAATTGCTATTAACAATTTAATTGGTGCTGGCGGGGATCGAACCCGGGTCGCGTACTGTGAAATTTACAGCTAGCGCTAACCATCTGAGTTACCACGGCTTAATCATATACATACACAATATTTAAATAAAATAATACACACACACATGAAAATAACAGAAAAAAAGTAATTTAGTCAATAGAATAAACACTTACATCCATAGCCTTTGGTGTATTGAAGTAACACAAATGTACTATTGATAGATCCACTGTAGCCAAACGACCGTACACTAACTCGATGACTGCGTTTGTTGGTCTTATATACCACCAGTATGTAAAAATTCTAATCTAAAGTATTTCCGTAATGAGTTGATAATTACTTTATGCGTCAACCAGTTTATCTCACATTTCCGTTGCCTATCTCAACATTTCTTCGTATTGTGTTTTGTTTGGTGATCAATGACTCAAGTACGATTTGTATAACACAAAAATGCAATTTAATATTTAGAAACATATCAGTTTATCTCACATTTCCGTTGCCTATCTCAACATTTCTTCGTATTGTGTTTTGTTTGGTGATCAATGACTCAAGTACGATTTGTATATCACAAAAATGCAATTTAATATGTAGAAATCACTATAATTGACCATTCCTATGTTATTCATTGAGTAGCTAGGTACTGTAATAATCTACTAATAGCAGTAATATCATGGATACACTAGATGTACAACAACATCTGAAAAAGATTCACCCCAGTCTAGAAAATAATGTTTATGCAGCTAATAGACTGCCTATGTATACCCACGTACCAACGTATATAATATGTAATTTGGATACAGATGATAAACCAGGGTCACATTGGGTAGCTTTATATATCGATACGAATGACGTCGGTCAATATTTTGATTCATATGGACGATCACCTGTACGATATCATCTAGAGTTTTTAAAAAGGAATTGTAAAAGATGGAACTGGAATGTTGATAGGATTCAGAATGAGTGGACTTCAGTTTGTGGCGAATATTGCTTAATGTATTTACTATATAAGTTTCAAGGATGTTCAATACATAGTTTTACGAGTATATTTACAAGGAACACATTGTACAACGATATTTTAGTGGATGAGATGTTTCGCTCCTATTTTATAGATAATAATTAATAAGATTTTGTATTTTATAAATAAAAATTGTAACAAAATTATGTAATGTGTTTTATTGATGATTCAGATTAGCGTTGTATAAACAAAGAATTATAATAAACAATAGCACTGATATAGTCGACGCACACGCTGCAATGAGGGTGATTAATGAACAATAGAACAATAGAAATAGGAACAATGGGACGCTAATGACGGTGGAGGCCCTTACCGGATATCAATTAGATATTAGCTAATTGATCTACACATCTCCGGAACCGTGCATTCTACACAAAAATGGACCGCGGATTCGTGATCAGAGCATGCCAAAACTTTTTTTTTTTTTTTTTTTTTTTTTTTTTTTTTTTTTTTTTTTTTTTTAGGATCGTGTGTCGACGAACGTCGTTGAACCACGTCTGACTCAGGTGGTCTAGAAGTGGTACAACTACACTACTAGCGCTTCTTTCGAAGCTTCCTTCCTATGGGCTTCCAGAGAAATTGTGCAAATGGATCACCAGTTTCCTTCTGATAACTTCCAGGCAAATATTAAAACGTTCTGGAAGCTCGTAAGAACTGCCAGGGGAAATTCAAAACAGCCTAGAATGAATGCTATAGGAGACGAGAATGGCTGCATGCTGAATGATGAAGTTTCGAATTTAAAGAGATGGAAGGAATACTTTGAAAGCGTGTTTAAGTGTGAAGAGTCGTCTGAAGTAAGTGAAATAGAAATTCCGGAAGAAGTGGAGAGAGATGGGGAGATAAGTGTAGACGAAATAATTAATGAAAGCAATGAAAAGGGTGAAAGCAAGTAAGACAGCCGGATATGATAGAGTATCAGTAGCCAAAAACCAGAAAGTTTTTTGTGCGTTCATGGACTTGGAAAAGGCTTATGACAGAGTGGACAGGAACGTGTTATGGCAAACACTGACCTCATTTGGGTTGAGCGCTGGTCTGATACAGGCATTAAAGTCTCTTTGTAGGGACTCTAGTGCTTGTGTCTTTTTTTTTATAGAAGAGGGGGCAAACGAGCATGCGGCTCACCTGATGGTAAGTGACTACCGCCACCCATGAACAACCGTAACACCAGGGGAATTGCAGATGCGTTGCGGGCCTTTTAGAAAGGTGTAAGCTCTTTTCTTGAAGGTTCCTAAGTCGTATCGGTCCGGAAAATTCGCTGGTGGTAATTGATTCCACAAGGAAGTTGTGCGAGGGAGAAAACTTCTTCTAAATCGCACAGTGGTGGACCGCCAATCATCCAGATAGTATGGATGGTAACGCGAGTTTTGTCGCGATGTGCGATGGTGAAATTGAGCGGCTGGAATTAGTCCGAACAATTCCTCAGAGCACTCCCCGTGATAGATGCGATAAAATACGCAAAGAGATGCAACATCTCTACGCAGTGCCAGAGTATCGAGCCGATCAGAAAGAACTCGGTCGTGGACGATTCGGACCGCTCTGCGCTGGATGCGGTCAAGTGGAAAGAGCTGGCACTGTGGTGCCCCGGCCCAGAGATGAGAACAGTATTCCATGTGGGGCCGAACTTGCGCTTTGTAAAGTTGCAAGCGATGTGCCGGCATGATATACTGTCTCGCTCTGCTGAGCACGCCAAGCTTTTTAGAGGCCAATTTGGCCTTCCCTTCCAAGTGACCACGAAACTGCACACTATTCGATAGGTCGACGCCAAGGATTCCGATACTAGCTGAGGCAGCAAGGGGAGTGCCTTGAAACTGAGGAGATACGACAAAGGGGTTCTTTTTAGCGGTAAACGCGCAAACTTGTGTCTTCTGGGGATTGAACTGGACTAGATTTAGTCGGCCCCAATCCGAGACTTTGTCAAGCAAAGACTCGACTTCAGACACAAGTTTGTCCCGGTACTCAGTACGGTACTCTACTGCCTCCGCCCATCTATGAGTCAGATAGACTAGAAGATTACCAGCTGATCGACCTCGACGAAAACCGTACTGGCGGTCACTGATCAGCTGGTGATCCTCAAGGTACCTTATGAGCTGGCAGTTTATAATGGATTCCATTATTTTCCTTACATTTCATCAACACCAGCCTTACCATGTCCCAAAAGTGCTCTCGGATATAAGTGGGCTTAGACATATCTGGGGCGTACACCACAAGCACAAACAACTTTTTTAAGCCCACTTTCATTCGTATCCACAGCAGCCTTGGGCTTACACATTCATACTCTTTCACACATTGACCCATTCTTTCTGAAAGGATGACACCGACTCCCTGGCATGCCCGCTCTGTATCGTCTACTTCAGACCAGTAAGCGGTATACATGCCATGTGCAGTGACATCTCTTCCCTTTCGTTTTGTCTCATTCACACATATCACATCTATTCCTCTATCATTCATCATTTCGCATATTTCATCCATCTTATTATTCATTGCTCCACATACATTCAGCGTAGCCAGACGGGCCTTCGCAATCCACTTTTCGCCCCTCCGGGAGACAGGACGTGACGGGTGGCGAACCTCGCCGCCGGTTTTCCTCCCGGAGATTCTTCGCACCCCTGCCCCATTAAAGGGGCGCCGGGAGCTCGGGGCCATTTCTTTAAATTGTTGGTTCA